ATTCCGTACCTGAGTGGGTTTCAGAGGATTTTGGAGTCGGATTAGATTCTTGGACAGCAGCTGGAAGCGGTGTTAGGTTCTCTATTCTTTCAGCATTTCTGTTTCGTCTTGTATAGACCCGAAGTTCCTGAGAAGTGGGTTGTGTAGACTGAGGAGGTTGAATAGGAGAAGGTGTGGGTTGTGTAGACTGAGGAGGTTGAATAGGAGGTGGAGGAGGTGAGAGACCCGTGTCAGTTGGTAAAGGAACACAGGGCTGTTGTTCACTATGACTACTCCCCCCCTGAATGACAGACCCTTGGTAGTATAATTGATGCTCAAAAAATGTGACATCCATAGAGTTATAGACTTTTTTAGTTGAAGGACAATAACATTTGTAGCCTTTCTTGTTGGTCGAATACCCTATGAATATGCATTTGACAGATTTGGGGTCTAATTTACTGCGGTGTTGTTTGTGAATATGAACAAAGACAGAACAACCAAATAGTTTCGTAGGGACAACTGAAGAGAGTGTACAAGTATTTGGAAATGAGCTAAGGAGAACATCAATTGGACTACGGAAACCCAGAATACAAGAGGGCATCCGATTTATGAGGAAGGTCGCGGTCCGTAGGCCGCGGTCAATGTTGCCTCGCCCCAATAACATTTAGGGACTGATGTGGTAAACATGAGACAGCGGGCTACTTCCAACAAGTGACGATTTTTTCGCTCGGCAACCCCATTTTGTTGGGGAGTATCAACACACGTACTAAGATGAAGGATGCCATGTTGAGTAAAAAAGTTCCTAGGGAGGTGTTGAAAAAATCTCGTGTATTATCTGTTTTGACAGTCTGGATTTTTGTGCCAAATTGAGTGAGTATCATTTGATAGAATGCACGGAATATTGGGCCTACCTCGGATTTGTCATGATAAGATAGATCCATGTTACCCGTGTGTGATCATCAATAAAGGACACGAACCATTGGGCCCCAGAAATATTTTTTTTCACGAGAAGGACCCCAGTACATAAAGTTGGGATGACCTAAACGATAATGAAGTAACATGATTTCACCATCGTTATTAATGCTGGAATGGAATACAGATGTACTAAGCGGATTTAAGCCGGACAAACTCGATACTGGAACACAACCGGTGGGTGAGACTAGACTGACAGAGGGTTTGTTGAAGAGATAGAGAGCACTGCGCAACTCAGCACTGTCAAGCATCCTCCCCGACTTCAAGTCCTAAAATTCACAAACATATGAAAAAAATTTAGCAACACAATGACAATCATGAGTGAGCTTACTAATAGAGATCAAATTGCAATCCAAAGTAGGAACATGAAGCACAGAAGTGAGGAATAAATCTGGAGAGATGCGGACAGAACCAAGACCAGCAACTTTGGAGGCTGATCCATCAGCAATTCGAACCGTGAGGGTCGGATTACACGGTCGGTAATCCATTAATAAGGAGACATCCCCGGTCATATGATCGGAGGCACCTGAGTCAACAATCCAGGGGCGAGAAGAGGTTGAATCCAAGACGAAAGCGGATGGGGAAATACCTTGATAGGTAACAAGGCCGGTGGCACCCGATGCCACACTAATAGGCTGGACTGGTGAAAGCTGACCGAGCATCTTCTGGAGGGCATGAATCTGTTCTTCGCTGAATGGGCTCGTTCCTGGAGAGGCTTCAGTGGTGCTGGTGGCAGCTGCCCGATGACCCTGTTTGGGTTTCCCATTGACGGGTTTGCCATGAATCCGCCAACATGTATCCCGAGTATGGCCAAACGGCGGCAGTGGTCACACCAAGGGCGGCCCTGGCGTTGGCAGTTATCTGTGGATGGAATATGAGCAGTAAGTGCAGACCCGTCGAGGGCTGTAGTGGACAAGGAAGCACCTAACATGACCTTTTGGCGACTCTCTTCGCAGCGTATATCGGAGAAAGCTTCACGAATTGTTGGAAGAGGTTTCAAATTTAAAATCCGTGAGCGAGTCTGGTCAAACTCAGATTTAAGGCCGAGAAGAAATTTGAAGGTGTGTTTCTATTCTATGATTTGGCGAAACATGACAGAGTCTTCGGGACACTTCCAAGGGTACACCTCGAATAGATCTAGTTGTTGTCAATAACGAGTAAGAGTATTGAAGTATTGGGTGACGGAGAGATCACCTTGACGAAAGTCATGAAGAATGGTTTCAATAGCAAATAGTTCGTTTGTATTGTCCGCACTATAATAGGTCTCACGGGCAGCATCCCAGATTTCTTTAGTCGTGCCATAGAGAAGAAAATTTTCGCCAATATCAAGTGCCATCGAGTTAACAAGTCAGACCATAACCATATTATTCTCGGATTTTCAAGTCTTGTATGACGGATCTGTAGTCATCGGAGCTAGAGCATCACCAGTGAGATAGTCATTTTTGCCTTTGCCGCATACAAACATTATGACTGACTGCGACCATTGGAGGTAATTCTGACCGGTGAGTTTGTGGCTAGTGATGATGACAGAATTACTGTCTGAATTGCTGGGTAATGGAGACCCAGCCGCGG